ATAAAAATTTAAATCTTAACATATACTAAGATGTTTGATGTAAATTAGCAGCCGCCAGGGCCAGCTAGTGCAATGAATCCCATATACATAGGACATTTATATAAATAAATAATATCTATTTTTTAAATTACAAAATTTTAAAAAAAATATATTACAATTATTTTAATAAAAATTTAAATCTTAACATATACTAAGATGTTTGATGTAAATTAGCAGCCGCCAGGGCCAGCTAGTGCAATGAATCCCATATACATAGGACAGAAGGAAACAGAAAGAGTTCAGAAAAAGGAGACAGAAAGAGGGAGGTCAATCAAATGAGTCGGTCTTAAATGGCAGGCATAGGGCGGTCCTTGTCCACGTAGTGTAAGCGTCGGGAAATTACTGCCCTGGGGCCGACATGGATAAAGTCGCTATAGGGATCGGGGGAGCCCGGAGCGCCAGGCCTAGTAGGTGAGGGCTGTGAGGCTCCGTGGCGTCCCTGGGCCCAAGCTACCTTTTTTTTTTTCTTAAACTTAAATATTATCCTTAAGAAAATGGAAAAAACATGGGTGGACTCTCCTACTTTGGTAAACCATACATGACTTTGAGGCCCACTTAAATTATTCGAATTTTGACAAGAGAGGATGTAGTTACGAACTGTTTGTTTTTAAAAATTATTGATGGAGTGGTGGCCCTTAATTGTATGAAAGAGTCTATATTTCTATCAATTATTATAAAAATGTAATCTACGCGTGATGAATTGTACTTTGCTTTTTAAATTTTAATCATATAGAAAAAATTGAGGATGAAAAAAATCAATTACTAATGTTAGAGGGGTGAAAAAATTGCAGTTTTTAAGGGAGAAGAATTTCAAACAAACCATTCCACCTGTGACTATTGAGGATGGAGAACAAATCAGCTATGAGAAGGCCACCAAAGCACTGAAAAGGGCTGTTAATTTTTTCTCCGCATTGCAAGCTAGTGATGGCCATTGGCCCGCAGAAAATGCTGGCCCATTGTTTTTCCTTCCACCCTTGGTGAGCCCATTGTTAGAAAACTACACATTTTCCTAAATATAAATTCATCTTCATATACCATGCCATGTGCTAATTATAGCTGCCGTAGGTGTTCGCCTTGTACATCACAGGGCACCTCAATACTGTATTCCATGCAGAGCATCGCAAAGAAATCCTTCGATACATATATTATCATCAGGTATATAGACTACAGAAGCATGCATGTTTTTCGTTTTAATTTGATGTCTTCTTGAGTTCTGAATTGTTGATGCATTTTTGTGCTTTGTAGAATGAAGATGGGGGCTGGGGATTGCACATCGAAGGTCATAGCACCATGTTTTGTACTGCTCTTAGCTACATTTGCATGCGTATTCTAGGAGAAGGACCCGATGGTGGTCTAGATAATGCTTGTGCAAGAGCACGCAAGTGGATTCTTGACCATGGCAGTGTCACTCACATACCTTCATGGGGAAAGACTTGGCTTTCGGTATGATGACCAATTTTAATTAATGGTTGTTATAAATTTGCAATAATTTTGGATTATAAGTGCAAATTTCATGTTTACTATTTGTTTGTTGCAGATACTAGGTATCTTTGACTGGTCTGGAAGCAACCCGATGCCCCCAGAGTTTTGGATCCTTCCTTCCTTCCTTCCCATGCACCCAGGTTTGTCCCATCTTAGATGCTCTACTTGTATGACTGAAGACTATCACCCGTAATTGAGAAGTTTGCTCCCAAAATTGGCTTTAAGTTACCCTTTTGGTTTTGAATCGGGAAGCAATTTGATGCTTCATGGTTTCTGGACATTAAGATTGTTGAAGTTTTTCTCTTTCCCCTTGTAATATGCAGCTAAAATGTGGTGCTATTGTCGTATGGTTTACATGCCTATGTCATATCTATATGGGAAAAGATTTGTGGGACCAATCACACCATTAATTCAACAATTGAGAGAAGAACTTTACCTTCAACCTTACAATGAAATTAATTGGAGGAAAGCACGCCATTCATGTGCTCCTGTAAGTTATTGTTCCAAGTTAGAGATATACTATGGTACATTTCTTATGTTCAATGTTACTAATAGAGATTACGGTTTTTCAAAATTGCTTTTGTAGGAGGATCTTTACTACCCGCATCCATTGATACAAGATTTGATGTGGGATACTCTGTATATTTTGGTCGAGCCCTTTCTTACTCGCTGGCCTCTTAATAATTTGATTAGAGAAAAGGCTCTGCAAGTAGCTATGAAACACATTCATTATGAAGATGAGAACAGTAGATACATCACCATTGGTTGCGTGGAGAAGGTAAGGTGTCTATTTAGAGACTAATTTATGGGAAAGAGGAATATTAATGTTCTTTGATGAATATCGCTCTGATTTCACTAGTATATACCAGGTGCTATGCATGCTTGCTTGTTGGGTGGAAGATCCAAATGGTGATTACTTTAAAAAGCATCTTGCTAGGATCCCAGATTACATATGGGTCGCTGAAGATGGAATTAAGATGCACAGTTTTGGAAGTCAAGAGTGGGATACTGGTTTTGCTGTTCAAGCTTTACTTGCTAGCAATCTCATAGATGAAATTGGACCTGTGCTTAAGAGAGGACATGATTTCATAAAGAAATCTCAGGTTTGACACATTATTGCTACTATCAATAACAATTCTTAATTTCCATCCTAATTGATGAGAAAGTGAAAGAATGTTCATTTAGCCTCACTATTACTTCCCACTTAAAATTTTGAAGGTCAAGGACAACCCTTCAGGTGACTTCAAGAAAATGCATCGTCATATTTCCAAGGGATCTTGGACTTTCTCTGATCAAGATCATGGATGGCAAGTTTCTGACTGCACCGCAGAAGGCTTGAAGGTAGAGTTAAATTTTTAGTGTTTAGCCATTCATTTAAAAAATTAAGGAGAGCATCATTAGATTATTCATTTTATCTCAACGGGTTGTACCTTGTTCTACAGTGTTGCTTACTAATGTCAATGTTGCCGCAAGGAATTGTTGGTGAGAAACTAGAACCAGAGAGATTGTACGATGCTGTTAATGTTTTGCTTTCTCTTCAGGTGAAATATTTGCAATAATCCTTGTATTGATTCTGTTTTTTTGAGTATTAAGTTCTCGTATCATCTCAATAAGCTTCTTCATTTGATTAATTACAGAGTAAAAATGGAGGTCTTGCTGCCTGGGAGCCAGCTGGAGCTTCAGAATGGTTGGAAGTAAGTGCTTTAAAACATGGGAAAGTGCCTCACGTTTTTTCCATAAAAATTTCAAAAATGTATTATTAAACTCTTCTAGACTATCATGATATCAATTGATGTTTTGTCTTTCATTCTCAGATGCTCAATCCCACAGAATTTTTCGCAGACATTGTCATTGAGCATGAATATGTTGAGTGCACTTCATCCTCAATCAGTGCTTTAGTTTTGTTTAAAAAGCTATATCCTGGGCATCGGAAGAAGGAGATTGAAAATTTCATTACAAATGCTGTACGCTTCCTTGAAAACATACAAATGCCTGATGGATCATGGTATATTCCTCTCCTATGTATTCCTAATATGTTCTAAAGCATATGATTATTTAAGAAAGTGCTAGAGGTAAATCAATTACTTGATGAATTTCCACAGGTATGGGAACTGGGGAGTATGCTTCACATATGGTTCATGGTTTGCCCTTGGAGGACTAGCTGCTGCTGGCAAAACTTACAACAATTGTCCAGCAACGCGAAAAGGTGTTGAATTTCTCCTTAGAACACAAAGAGAGAATGGTGGTTGGGGAGAGAGCTATAAATCATGCCCCGAGAAGGTAAATCCTAGCATTTAAAGAAAACTAGTTCAGAAATTTTTGGATCAAATTTTTGAAGCACTCCACTAAATGATCACCTACGTTCTGTTTATTATTTGATACGTGATTGATTGTCTCTCCTCTTAGCCTAGGACAAAATGTGTAATGTCTATGCTGTTGCTAATGCAGAAATATGCGCCTCTAGAAGAAGGAAGATCAAACTTGGTACACACTGCATGGGCTATGATGGGTTTGATTATAGCTGGACAGGTAAATCAGTGGTTAAAATGTTACAATTTATATATCAAAATCGTCTACTCTTATTGATGGTTTTTGATATCAAAATTTTGGTCATAATATAC